AGAGCTTCAGGAAGAGCTACTGATCAATAGAAGAGAGCTAGTAGACGTTGATGTGTGCTGCTGGCCGATACGCCGCAGTTGGATCCTTATCAGCCCGTGCACATCACGCTTAATTGTCATCGGTTCTGCATACATGAATGAGAGGAAGCTCAAGATTTCATGTTGTTATTGCTACCAACTTCGGCTCGACGGCATGGATGCACTTCCTCGTGTTTGCCTCTGACAGGGGTGGATGGCGGGCCGTTGTGTTTGTACGTGTATGTGTGTTTTTCTATGTGCTCGGGGATGGGGGTGGCTCTTTTTGTCGCTGTAACTCAAGTTCGCAGAGGTTTCCCACGCTGTTATTTTCTACTGACGTTCGTCTTTGTTCTTGCGTCTCATCACATGTTGTGATTAGTGCTCCCTTTTGAAGGTGTGGGCCCACAACAAAACCGTATTTCCCCCCACAAAGCATGCCAGAGCCTCTTCTCATTCCAAGCTTGAGGTTTTTGCTCCTCCGAGTGGGTCTCCATGTCACCATGTTTTCATTTCAGTCTCTTTATGTCCATGCCAAGAAGCCTAGTCTACCCACAAGGAGGGCAGACGATGGTTTAAAATGGACACGCTGCTTTTTAGGAGTTATGTCTCGGCCTATTTGGATCTCATATATCAGCATCAGTCTTTCTGTTGCATCACGAGGATCGCACAAAGAGGGCAACAGGTTTCTGATTGCATCTCTGAAGACTGTCTGGCTACCGCTGCCTCACGCTGCGCCGTGGCGTCGTGTGTTTCGCGCAGACAGATGTTCACGTCCCTGAAACAATGTGTTAAACAATTCTGTCCTCCTCAGGAGGAGCAGCAGGGGGACACGTTATTGTTTATAAATAGCTATGCATTGAATCCACACAGAAGAGGAAGAGCGGCTTTGTTTCTCTCACTGAGAGAGGAAGTAGGGCTTAATTCTCTGAGTTACATGTGACACCTTGCATTGTGCCATTTGGGCATGTTTGTGGGAGTGTGTCTGTGTGTTTGTACACACATAGAGACGGATTATACTCTCATCCGAGTGGCACGGATTCTTTTGAAGTTGCCCAACTTTGACCCACGAGCACTGTGAGAGCTTTCCTCTTCCATTTCCAGTAAAATGACACAACTGTGTGCTGCTAAAGTGTGTTTTTACAGAGGAGGAAGTGTTGTAATGATGATCTTTCGGATGTCGCCTCCCATATTTGTGTCGTTTTCTCCAATGGCCTTGCATTATCCCAGCTACACCCTGTGACAGCTGACGTCTGTGTATTCAAAGCTTTAAGCGGTTTCTCCCTTATTGTCTTCCCTAAGAATTGGAACAAGGATGCTTTGATGGCTATTGTCAGCTTAAGGCTGGAATACATGACTTTTGCTCAGATTTACAGTCTTGAGGAGTCAATGGAAGTTGACGAATGTCAGTCAGTCGAAGTCGACAGATTTCGCATATAATCTGGTAGTGTATAATGGAGCCAGGCTCAAATTTTCTAGCTTCAGACTGAATCCATTCAGTTGGAGGATATCAAACATGTTTGGTATTTTGGGCAATTTTAGAACACTTGTTGATTTTATTTGTCATGCACCTCCTTGCAACAAGGCGCATGTTTCTGCGTGAAAGTCTTGAAAGTCAGTCTTGTAGTGTATTCCAGCCTTTAGCTATTTTTCTAGGCAGAGATTTCGAGTTATTAACAGCTGTTAAATTCTAATGTGGTGGGGTTTTATTAAACGTCATTTTTAGGTGTGCAGTGAAAGATTTTTGATGGATTCTTTGGTCGTTAATATGAGGTTGATATTGGCTCGCACACATAAGACGCAGTTGCTCGTAATTAGGTGTTTCAAGTCGTGGAGTGACTCGAGGTGGGTGGTCATCCACATGAACACATCAGCCACGGGACTGTGGTCAGGGAGGAAAAGGGTCTCTGAGCTCTGCTGCTTTCATCTCCTCCTGTCTGCATAGTTAGTGGTGTGTGTGGGGTGAGTGTGTGTGTAAGTAAGAAATAGCAAATCTTCGACAGACAGATTGTAAAATGCAGCAGAGTTTAAAATACCGTTCAAAGATTTGGGGTATGTTTTTTTTATACATTTATTTAACAAGGGTCATTAAATGGATCAAAAGTGACAGTAAAGACATATTCTTACAAAAGATTTCTGTTTCAAATGCTGTTCTTTTGAACTTTCTATTCATCAAAGAATCCTGAAAAATAACAAATAAGGTATCAGGGCTTTCACAAAAATATTAAGCTGTTTATCAACATTGTTAATAATAAGAAATGTTTATTAAGCACCAAATCAGCATATTAGAATGATTATTGAAGAATCATGTGACACTGACTAGACTGGAGTAATGATGCTGAAAATTCAGTTTTGCATCACAGAAATAAATTACATTTTAAAATATATTCCAAATAGTAAACAGTTGTTTAAAATTGTAATAATATTTACAATTTTACTGCTTTTACTGCATTTTTAATCAAATAAATGCAGCCTTGATGAGCATAACATTATTTAAAAAATATATT